ACAAACGATGGCTTTTTTTAAAAACGTGGAACAGTCATATAAATAATCTAGCTGAGGCCTGTAGCAAAGAAAGCACAAGTCCAATTTCATAGTACAAGTGGATGTCAGACTGAAGGCTAGACCCCAGGTACATCAACTCTTTGTTTATGCTTAATAATTTGGGGTATAAATGATGATTCACATTCAGTAATAAGTTAAATGCTCTTCAGTGCTATTTGACTGTACCAAGGGAATCTCTTTCGCCTAATAAGCCCACATTTCTTCTCAGCCTCAGTTTCCAACGTGACCTTTAACTGCCTGCACTCCATCAGGCAGCCTGGGCTCCTCACTTCCCCCTGTCATACCTCAACACCAGGGTCTCAAGTCAGCAAGCTGTCCTTACGGTCCCAGTATAAATGTCTCCTCCTTCTTCCCCCCTCTGTCTCTGAGATTGCTAACCAGAAGCATTTTCTCTCCTTAGAACTTCCCTGGTACTTTATCTGTTCCCCACTTAACAAACATCTCTCTCTATCTTGTATTTAATTCTTTACAAACTGATTTTATCTCTTCTACTGGACTCTAAACTCCTCGAGGGTAAGACTTGTGTCAGATTTATTTTTAATTCTCTCAGTATCTATCACAGTTCCCGGAATGCTGTAGATCCTAATAAATATTCACTGGATGAATAAATGAATAATGCACAAACATCATGGTCAGAAAAATCTTTGTGGCTATTTGTCATTTTCAATAATGAAACCACCATATCTATAAGATGGATTGGTTCCTAAATAAAACTGTAATTTCCTAAGCAGAGTGGATTCTGATCCTGATTTGTGAGACAACTACAACGTTGTTTAGTGTTGCTAAAGTGCAAAAGCAGGGAAGAATTTTATGCCTGACAACTGTGCTTGCTCTCTCTCTCGCTTGCACGCTCTCTGTTTCTTTCTCTCTCTCTTTTGGTAACAGATGTCAACCTCAGTTAGATTCAACTCAACTTATTAGTGCATGGATTTTTGCCAAAAGCAATTCGCATTTTCAGAAGTGTACTATCACATATGTCTTAATAACAAAAATGTGTTTTTAAAAAAATATATGTGAAAAGTCACATATGGTAGCAGAAATATGTACATCTCTTAGGCCTTGCTGTCACAATGAAATCTTGGAGATGATTGCTGCAGAACAGTAACATACAAGTGAAAGTCTCTCTAACACATTAAAGAGCCACAGTTTGAAAATAATAATCAAGCTTTGATGTCAGTATGGTTCCAAAGTACTGAGAAAGACAACAGGTATCTCGTCCTGATCACTAATCTTAAGAACATTCACTTTTGAGTCTTATTCTCAGAGGTAATATTTAATGTTTACAGGGAAAGTCATTAGTGTACCCAGGTACATTATGTGCTTACATTCTGTAGGCATATATTTAATTTCTCTTTTATAAGGAGTATAATTAATGTGTACCACAGTCTCCCTATGGTGATGAAAGAAGTTTACAACCATGAAGGTATTAAAAATAAATTGAACAAGTGGTTGCAAAGTAGGAAGGAGGAGGTGGACCTTTTCAAGAGGAAAATATACAAACGAAATGAATATTGTGCATCATTTACCATCACCCTAATTCAAAGTTTACTCAGCCATTAGTTCTGGGAGTAACAGAATTTTAGAAGGTGCATATGCCCATTGCAATATACCCATCCACACACAACTTGGAAGACTAGCAGTATGTTCTAGATATGTGTTGACTGGTTTCTGAGGCATCACTGTCCTGTCAATTATATGTCATATCCATAAGATTTTCAAAGGTAGTCAGTGAAGAGCAAGTTTCTTTGCTCATATTCAGTATTAGGTGGTACATCAGCCCCAGAAAGTCCTGAACATATGATAAGGGCTTGTTAAATATCTACTCAATGTTTTTTTTTGTTTGTTTGTTTGTTTTGTTTTTTTGTCTTTTTTACTGACCAGTAACGGGATCGCAACCCTCGGTGTCGCGCCCGTACCGGGGACGGGCAACGGGATCGCAACCCTCGGTGTTGCGCCCGCACCGCGCTCAGCCAGTGAGCGGGAACCGGTCTCCACATAGGATCCAAACCCTCGGCGGGAGTGCCGCCGCACTCCCAAGCAGCGCACTCTCCAGTGCGCCACCGGACTGGCCCTACTCAATGTTTTAAAGCCCAAAAGAGAAAGATTGATAGTTTAACCTTCAGTATCCCACACACATACAAAATACTTACTACCTTTTCTAGCTGACCAACTAGAGCAGTAGTAATCACATTTTCTATAAGGGGCTAGATGGCAAACATGTTTAGATTTACGGGCCACATAGAATCTCTGTCATAACTACTCAACTCTGCCATTGTAACACAAAAGCAGCACCCACAGACAATATGGAAATGAATGAGTGTGGCTGTGTTCCAATAAAACTTTATTTATAGATTCTGAAATTTGAATTTCATATAATTTTCACATGTCATGAAATCTTCTTTTTATTTTTTCTAACCATTTGGCAAACTTTGCACCAAAGGACTATATCGACTCACACATATGGTCATCTTCACCAAACTGTGTTTGTATTTCAGTTTTAAATGATGCCAGTGGACTCTGCTTTCCAGCAACACTGTACACACTTTCTAATGTATGCTTAGAAAGACGATCGAATGTTAATTCTGGCATATGAATTCAAACGAGGAACTGGTTTGAGGCAAAGCAGCTAGAATGAACCAGAGCAATGTGGAAACATTTTTACATGTGGCATGAGCCAAGAATAACAGGGACTGAATTTGTCAGTTACAACACACAGGCCCTTCTGACTTGACAGCACCACTCTACTAGAGTAGAGCCACCAGCCTTAATAAGCTTCCAGGCCAGGTTCCTTGGAAGGACTGTTTCCTTGGATGTGTCCAAGTTGTTTATTTGTTCATTCATTCAGAAAATATGCATCAAACCTTTACTATATTTGGAGTCCCAGTGCACTGAGTGTAACTGAAATTCTCTGGCAGATGTCAGAAATGGCAAGAGGACTATTATATATCCAACTTTTAAAAACTCCAACTCATCTTCTATCAGGCAGTGCAACTGAGCCATTCTCTGGAGTTTCTGTCCCTGACCTGAGTTCCTGAGGATGTTTCTCTATTCTTAAAGTGCACATATAGCTGTGGGTGGCAAGCGAGTTTGGTATTGTGATCCCAAATGCAACAGGATACCAAAATTCACACTGAGAACAATATCTTATTTAATTCAAAAACAATTCTAAACACCTACCAGGTTTATTACTATGCAGATTTTCAAATATTCTTAAAAAAGCCCCATAATCCTTTGACTCTTCGTTTTTCTGTCTTCTCTTTATAACATTTCTTAAAGTGCTAGACATTAGACAGAGTCTGCACTGTGAATGAATAAGGACTCATAAAAAAAATAATTATCTGTAGGGTTGAATCCTCAAAAGGAGCAAACAGAAAACTGGTCCCACTTCCACGCCATTAGACTACAATTTAATGTGGTCCTGCACACTGCCAATGGGCTGTCCTGTACATGCAAAGATGGAACTTGGGACTCACTTCTTATTGGGAGGGCTCAGACTAGGAGACGTTTCCCCCATCATAATCTAGATCTACACTCCTCCAGCACTTGTCCCAACCCTTGTAACCTGGGGCACACATCTGCATGCAGGCAGGGAGGGGTGTACTTGGACTGTGAGAAAGAAGATCACTAATGGCCCACCCGGGGACTAAAGCCCTGGCCCAGGCCTCATTAGCACCAGCCTCTAATCCTCTGAGCTTGCCAGCCACAGGCTTGCAGTGGAGGAGCCTTCAGGGCATACAGACAGAAAAGAAATCAGGCTGCAGAGATTTCAACCCCAACCGAACACCAGACAAAAACTCAGCTATGAAAAATACTTCCGTACGAGTGCCAAAATATAATACACTCCAGACTACAGATGCCCCTCTAAAGGCTACATATAGAAGCCTGATAAGAAATATTCTGTGGCCTAAGAAAAATGACATTGAAAAACAAAGTATATAACACCTGTTGGAAAAATGTATTAGGGCTTAGATTTAACGGTATGCTAAACACTACCCTGGTGCCCTGGAAAAGTTAATTCTTTTGCAAAATACAAACAGCATTCTTGTCATTAGCATTAGCTGATCCATTCTCCAAGAAACTATTAAAAATCCATGCACTCCACATTTTTGCATTTGGTACCAAGTATAATGGACGTCAGCTGACATGAATTAAGACATAATTCCTAGAGATGTGATATCACCTGATCTATAATAACTTAGCAAGTAGAGCAGGTCCTCCCTCTGCCACAAGGCTGGCAAGAGTGGTATACATCAAAATACTACAATCAGATGTCACAAACCCACATGACAAGACAGTCATCATTCTTAATTTGAAAGTCTCCCTTCTAAAAGAGACAGAATGTCTAAGACATACTATATTTAAAAGAGTGCTGTGCGGCTTGTTTATAATTTAAGTATCCCATAAAATGCCTTGGAAATAGCTCTCTGTTAGCTAGAAAAACCTTTAGTTAAATATATGTTTATGAGCTTTTCATTAACAGTGTATGGAAGCCGTGATGCCAAGGTGCCAAACCTCCCCACGTGGCTAGAAATCACTTGGCACACTTTCGGCCATTTATGTCTCTGTCACAGGTCCAAGGTTTGCAATTAAAAATGTAATCTTTTTAGCATGTGCAAAACCCAAAGGCTTGAGGTACTATGCATTGAATATGATTATAATAGTATTTGGCAGCTATTCATGGATGGCACATATTAATTTATGTAAACTGGATACAAATTGGGGCATTTCCTTATTAGGGATACAGGGAAAAGTATAAGCTGGTCCCTGCTCATTGGAGGGCTTTTTATTTTTATTTTATTTTTTGCTTGTTTTGGTTTTGTCTTTACATTGCCATGAATGGAGATTAACTCAAAATCCAAGGTCTCTCTATGACCTTAAATTTTCACATGTGTGGAGTCCATTAAAATTAACCTTTTCAACGAATAAAAATAATAACTTACTTCACAGGATTATTCTTATGTTTTGCCTTTTCAACAGCCTGTAAACAGAAGAAAAAATGCAATTAGACAACATTAGCAGGCATAATCTTTGCAACTAGTTACCAAAACAATAAGCAATATAAACACTCTTCAAAAACACAAGGAGCTAACTGAAGCAGGCTGCTGTAGATAAGCTGACTGGAGACTCAGGAAGCAATTTTCCTCTCTCAGGGAATGTGGTTACCTGTCCAAGTGCAGCTTTCAAACACAGGCGGCCATTGTCAGGGCTGCTTGGAAGGTGTCCTCCTCTCCCCACCTCTCACTCTAATCTTACCCCATGTGGGCCTTATTGGGTTGTAATGACAGCATGAGGAGAGAGGTGTGGAGGGAATAGTCGTGGACATATCTCATACTTTTAGATTTGTGGTGGGCAACTGTTGACCCTAGTGCTACTATTGACACCTGGCCACACTTGCACTGTGATAGAAAGGCCAAAGTGCCCATTTCCAAAATCATTTTTATTAGCAGACACCACAAAAGAGCAAGCAATGGCCAAATGCTGAAATCAATTTCCTCCCGTGGAACCTTTAAGAAAATACACACCACATCATCGAAATGAGGAAATCTCTGGGCCTCTCAGCCTGTGTCGCCTTAGACATGGAGCCTGGTTCCAGTTTATTGCTGAACCCATTGATCTGTGTACAGTCCATTTATCATTCATGAAAAGAGCTAGTGATCTTCACAGTATATTAGAAGAAACAACTCAGATCATCTGTCAACAGCCCTCTTATTTCTGTTTCCCTCTCCACAGGGATTTCATCTCCTTCGATTCTTCTGGAATTAAAATGTTGCTAAGCAACACAGCTGGGGGCACTGATGGCAGAATGGCTACAGTCTATCAAACTGTTTAAGCACCTGGAGGATTTTAGTGATGATTTTTTTTTCATATTGCTGCAGCATAATTATGTAATCAGAACCAAACTTGTACTCCCCTAGATGTTTTCAGGCAATAGAAACAACATTTACTATGGAGAGCATTGAAGCAGCAGTTTGACAACCTCGGTGTTGTTCAGACCCTTTAAAAAAGTATCCATTTGGGGACCTTTATATTTATGAATCCTGAAGGTGGTAAGGACTAAGGAGAAGAGAATATTACTGTAAATTAGAATACAGAGGCAACCATTTTTAACAGAGACAATATACAATCTAAAACTGGATTTGACATTCTGGGTGACCAGTGATTTTCAGCATACTAAGACCCTCTATGCATATCAACTCAATGCACTTAAAAACAGTTAAAAAATAAATGAAACACTTCCCAAGTTAGTGTTAGAAATTCAAGTCTTTTTTTGTTTGTTAAGTTTCAGGTTCTGTTGCTAAATAAATAACCATTAATATTTGGGCACTTTCTTTGGCTGCGTAGGCAAAAATCATTTTCTCACCATCTGTGCCTAAGGTTGAATTTTGGCAAGTGCTAGAATAGACTAGGAAGAAGGCTAGGGAATGAGATAACAGGTGAAAATGAGAAAACAAGAAATATGTGTCTGGCTGGCCTAACTCATCTCTCACACCTATCTAGGGTCTGAACGCCTGTCCCTGTGCAGTCCATGCAGAGGATGCTAACGCCACTCACCTTGCTGATTGTGCCAGTTCCAGATGGACAAAGGCAGAGGCAGATGCTGTTGAGGGGTGGGAGGTGAGGGGTGGGAGGCTGGCCATCCACCTTTCCTACAGTAGTGGGACCCAGTCTGCACACACATGCACGTTTTTTGTTTGTTTGTTTGTTTTTGTTTTTTTAACCACCTTTTCTCCTTCAAGCCTGGCTGGTTTGGAATAAGATTCGGTTGGTAGTGGGCTGAAGACATGTCGCCGTGGAAGTCACATGAATCCACTTTTTTCAGTCTCTTAAAATCTAAACAATTCTGCTCTGGTAGACTTCGGTTATCATAAAGTAATGGGTGCTGTGTTCAAGTGGTTTCCTTTTAAAGCATGCTGGATGTGATAGGATGAGCATGCCACTGGCAGAAGATGGGGAGAGGAGAAATCAAAGTGACATTGCTTCACCTCGCTTTGATTCAGAGGACATGTTATTTTGAAAATGTCCTCTCTGCTCTGTGCTTCAGAACTGCCAATTAGACCTAGTTATTTATCTCTGATCAGGAGGAACATAATCACATTTGAGGCCAGATTCTTTGAAACATATGTCTTTTTATACAGCCATCACAGGAGAATAACTTTATTCAAATTTTTTTTTCTGGGTTGCTTGGGTATTGGTTGAAAACGTCTATGCTAAGATGGCTTCTTTTATTTGGAAATTAACTCACAATCATTCCGACATCCCAACGGCTCTAGTCAGATGTACTTATGTCATCCTCCTGCGTGCTCATCACCTTGAATCTCTAAATGAAGTGGTGGCAGGGAGCCTTCGCCAGATGAGCCACAGCTCACAATTTGTGTTCTGTGCTTTCACTGCAATTTGACTGTTTCAGGGATGCTATGAGTAATTACTACATTAAGAGACTGAAGAAAAGTTTTCAAGTGAATTATTTGTTTGCAAATAATATAAGGTATAAGAATTAATCTACAATCGTATAAGGAGAAAATTCCTCTCTTGAAATGAGGGGGTATAGAAAGACAATCTCAAGTTCCAGATACATGTACAGAATGTGAGGCAAGCTGCAAAAGGAGACAAATTCAAAGGAAATGGCATAGTGCAATTCGCCAAGCAGGAAGACAGTTAAATATTGGGATTACAGCTAATTTTGAGCTTAAAAACATGTATTAAGATAATTTAAACTGATTGGAAAATCGAGGCTAGATAGTTGACAGCCTGCTTGAATTTATAATGTCTATACGCTTTAATGTCTATATGCTTTTAAAAACCTACATTCTCCTTATTTTGAGCCATGTTTCCCTAACATGATACTTATCTCACCACTTGGGAATCTCTAGATGATAAAAGAAATAAAAATGTTATAGAATATACGTGAATATGGTCTAATAAGAAGCAACAGGCTCTAGTGAAGGGAATGCCTTGCTAGAAGCGTTAAAAACCCAGTTCTAGTCTCAGCTTTGCCACTTAGCATTTGCAAGACTCCAACACCTCTGAGCCTCAGTTTCTAATTTTAAAAATGAAGATAACTATGCCTGTCCTTTCTACATCAAGGGTGATTGTGAGTAGCCCACACAGATGGCAGTGCTCTGGAAACCGCAGCATGCTATGAAAATGCAGTGCATCCTGACTGTGACTGCTTTCCACATATATGAGCATGCTGGCATGGAGATTTTTATTGCCAGATAGTTTATGGGCTTACTGAGTAGTGGCCAGGTTGCAGTACCAAGTCTATGCTGTTATTCCAAAGAAGACTATAGGAACCACTATGTTCTCTCCATATCAGGAGTGGTTCTGGGGTGAATAGAGTGCTTCTGTTTGGAAAATCCTACTCTCAAAAGATGCTGATGTGTTTGGATTCTACTAACTTGCCTATAGCTCAGCAGAAGACAGAACAGTGTCCTATACAGGGACACGGGGTCTCTTCCATGCATCCTCTTGGGGGTCGGTGGTAGTGAGGCCAGGGAATGTGGTGCGGTGGGGCACACTTACATGTGCATACACCTAAATCAATCTCTCTCTCTCTCTCGTTTCAACAAAGCCCAGGATAATTCCAGACCTCACTCCATCAGGGGAGCTCTTTACTTTTTCACTAAAATTTGACCTTGAGGACTGAGGATGGGGAAGCCCTGAGGATCCTAGAAAGGTAAACCACCTCCATGATGTGGCATCTTGAGCAATTATATGCCAGGGAAAAGGCACTTCTCTGATTCCAAGGACTGTTTATGAGCTGATTCCTCTCTCATTACCAGCATTGTGCTGTTCAAGGTATCCTGCTAAGCACCAAATTTATTTACTCAGGAGGGACGATGCAGCTAAGGACAGGCTCATAGTTGCTCACTCATTAAATCTATCCTCCTAAAAATAAGAACCATGGCTTTCTTTTATGAAGAAAATGTTTGTGCTGTACTGAAGCGAAATCGACTCAGGGACTGTACTGGATTATGTGAACCATATAATGTAGATCTATCACCAAAAACAGGTAGGAAAAAAAAACAAGAAGGAAGGAAAGTGGTGTCTATGAAGTCCTACCCACCATAGCATACATGACATTGTAGTTCCTTAGGGAGAAAATGCTACATATAAGGCACTTAGAAAACATGCTAGTCATCTTTTATATAATGTTCAAACTTCTTCAAAATTCTTTGGTAACTTAATTCTGCTCCAGTGATTATGTGTCACTAATTGCTATTCTAGTCAAATAGACATATATACTATATTTATAAAAAATGTAGAGAATGTTTTGGGGCTTTTAAGAATTATGCCCTGAATAGTTATATTCAGACTTATAAGATTATCCCCTGCCTGAGATTTACAGAAAACAATGCATTATGTGCCCTGTATGTTGAGACTGTCAAAGTGAGCACTTATTTGGCCTAGAGATGTTGTAGCAGTGGACTCGTTTTACAAGGCTACATATTCAGGTACTTCTTTTTTCCCATAATCAATAATAACGCTGTCAGTCAAGCATAAAGTGTGGTTTTATTAGTATTGCTCCATATGGTTTTTACGTTTCCTGCTTATATGCTTTACTCTGGCATTCTACTTGTAGGTACATCCAAGCTGGCTCTCCACAGATTATTTCTTGATAAAAAAGGCAGTCAATTATTTGAATAATTTCAAATAAATGGATACTAGGCAATATGGAAACAAGACAGAAAAACAATTACTAGCATGGGTTTGGTGTTTGTTTTGTTTTGCTGTTTTTTTCTTTTAACTTTTCACATGATTGTTCTGCAATACACAGCTATACCCTAACCTAGTGGCATGTAATGGTAAATTACATTGATTGCCTAAGTTCAGAAGAGAAACTTCTCTATTAACAAATGAACCCATCATTAGGGTATTCAGATGGTCTAAAATCAATATTACAGAATTGGTTAAATCAATTAAAGAGACATATACTGAGAGCACTTGCCCAAATATAAAAATGATCTGCTTAATTAT